TCATGTGTCTATCTGCTGTACTGATGAAGTTCTGAGGCTCAGAAATGATGGAAAAAGTCCATTAAAGTGATCAATCTGGACCCTCCTCTGTGGACTTCAAGGACCTGGACCTCTGGAACATTCACAGTCTGAAGGTAGAACTCTGGTCAGTAGATAAAGGTGCTGCAGAACCAGAACCACGAGAACTTCATGTTGCATCTGCAGACCAAGTTTTCTGTCTTTGTTCTACAGAACTCAGAGAAGAACATCTCCCTCTACCAGTGCGACCTGTACAACTTCTCCAGGTGAGCGAGCCACGCGTGGTTTCATCCTTTTTAAATGCTGGATGACTTTAATGACTTTCTCTGGACTTCACAGGTCAGTGGAGGGTGAGTTTGGAGCGATCTGGGACAGAGGATCTCTGGTGGCCATCAACCCCCGAGACAGAGAAAAGTAGGAGATCTGAGCTGGTTTTACACTTTTAGACAGAAAAACTACATTTGACTCATTCATTCTTGTGTTTTCAGATACGCTGCTCTCATGATGTCCCTGATGGCCTCAGACTGCAGATACCTCGTGGACACTTTACAGTACGACCCTGAGAAATATGAAGGTACGTTTCCGTATTGTGTCCAAAACATCAGACGAAAGCTGTTTATTTTCATTCATTTGCATGTATGTATGTCTGAGTTTGGTGGGATTTAAAAGCTCCTCGTGGCTGGTTTGTCTCGTAGGTCCTCCGTTTTTTGTTCCTGATGAGCAGCTGCACAGCCTGTTTGGTGAGTTTGATCTAAAACTATACGGTCGACTATTTCTGTGCAGCTTCTTTGTGGAAAACGACAGTTTTTGTGTGACTCCTTGTTCCCACAAATCTCTACAACTGAGAGCACAAAGCTGGCATTAATCACAGAGATAGGTGATGTCAAATACTCCAGAATTGTCCTTTAAAGATGCTTTTCTTCTCTCCGCAGGTAAAAGCTGCAACATCGAGCTGCTGCAGTCGACAGATATTCTTTCAGACATGTGGAGAGACTTTGGGATGGATCACCTGAATGAAAACGTTCTCCTCATCACCCCGAAGAGCAGCTAGAAACTAATTCATGGATTTTTTAAAAAAAGCAGATTTTGGGTAAATCCGAGTCTGAGGCATCTTTTTGATACGACTCCATTCTTTCAATTCTAAAAGCTTAATTTGTCCCCTGAGAGCTAATGTAGGAGCACAGAGCAGCTGGATCAACATTCTGGTGGGACGTGAACTTTAAATGGGTGTAAAATGTTGTTTTTATAAAACTCGGGAACTTTTATGAAGCCTTAAAAACGCGTCACTCACAAAAATAAGAACAAACAAAAGAAAAAGTGTGTGTGGTTATTGTGAAACCAGCTGTGAAATCTGGTCCAAATCGTGTCTGTAGGTCTGTTTTTAATACATCAATAGAACTATTTAGGTTATACTTCAAAGAGAAACTGAATTTCCAGAAAAGTAAATAAGATTTAGAATTCAGAAATCAAAGCAAGAAAACATTAATTCTACTTCATACTGAAAGGCTGAGCTCAGAACAGATGTTTTTTCTCTTGTACATTTTATAAAAACCTGCTAAAAGCAACATTATTGTTTTTGTTTTGTTTTTGTTGTATTATTACTGTGTTTCTGTTGGTGTAGGAATCTAAAAGAAATATCACATCTCAAATAACCCAAGATTATTAAGTTTAAATGTAAAAGATTTAATTTATAACAGATAAGCTTCCACCTTAGGTTCCTCATTATATGTTGTTGTTGAATTGTTGCTGTATGCATTAACCATAACTGATAAATATGTTCATATATTCCTTTTAAGTGCAGTACGTTCATCCTTTGACCTTACTGAAGCCAAATATGCAGTAAAGAGTGACCGTCCCTTTGCTTCTAACCGAGCGTTACATGAAGGTGGTTCAGTCCATGTTTGGAGTCGATTCGACCCCAGAGAGGTTTGAATCCAGCCTGGCCTCAGATGAACCGGAGGAACACTTAACTCTGGCACCATAAATCCAAACAGATGACTCATCAGGGAGGAGCAGAGCTGCAGAAAGCTGCTATCAGCATCACACACGCGTGAACAGTGAGCTGATAAACATCCACATTAAACCACGTACAGCTCACGTCTCCGCCACCAGGAGCCGGAGAGGACGTCTGGAGCAGCAGCAGAACTGGACGGAAAGAAAACGTCTGGGCTCAGTAATAATAATAATCATAAAAAAACGTCTGAATTCATCTTTTTAAGTTCAGACAGTTTCGTAAGAAATCCTGCTTAACTAACAAACTACCCTGTTGTAGAGGAATTAGCTTTTCCTCTGTCATCACAAGCATTTTCTATCGACCAGTTTTACCTGTCGGGATTCGTCCAGGTGTGTTAAGATGGATAATACTGAACTTTGGGTGAAGAAAAATTAATCTATCAAACCAATGTCATGAAGATATCTCAATATGAGTTCTGTTTCATATCAAATAGAACAGAAGCTTAGATTACACCCAACGTCAAACGGATGCAGCATTGTTCTGCTTGTTTACCTAAATCAGGACATTCAAATGTTTGTCTTGAGCCTTTAACCAGGTGCTGAGAACATGCGAATTACTTTTCAGAGCGTTCTTGGAGATAAAGTGAAAACATACTGATGTAAAGTAGAAATTAATCTGAAAAAGCTCCTTGCAGCTCTGTGAACGTTTTGATAAGAGCAGAAGCCATGAATCTGATTTTTACATCTTAACACTTTACACTGTCGTTTATATTTTTATTACTGGAGCTACGATATATGCACAGTATGAGCAGCACTGGGAGTATAAACAGTACAAACAGTGCATGTCAGTATGACACAGCATTACAGAGCATGAACAAACATCCCAGGTTTAAAAAACAGAATAAGCTGTGGGTGCTTGATAAATATAAACATAAAGATAATTAAAAGCACATAGAAATAAACTACCAGTGCACATGAGATGAAGATATATACAGTAAATATAAACAGAGTTATCTGAAGTCTGCACACAGTGAACATAGTTAATATTTGTCTGCCTCCGTCAGTATAAGAAGGTTTAAATGAGTGTATTCTGTAAAAAGGTTAATTACGGTGAAGGCAGAGACACAGTGAACTGAGAATTCACTGATAACGTGTTTATTGCTGCGAACCTTTGAACCTCTGAAACCCCTTGTTTGTAGAAGAGCTATATAAAGCTGTACAAGTGATCATTAAGTGATGAATGCCTCTGCAGAAACCTTCACAATAAGACTGGAAAGTGTGTGACTGAAGGTTGGATTTCTGAATCAGAGAGGAAAAAAACAACATGTTGAGAGAACAGCCTTTAAATATATGGATTATAAATGAAATCTGCAGACACAGATATACTAAGTGCACTAAAGAAAACAGCTAAATGTGTATTGTAACTGTATAAACCCTCCCCCAACTGTAATATAAATATAATTTGTAATATTACTTTCTCTAGTTTGTCAGTGTCATGATCATGAGCAATATTTGGATTTCATATGTTTAACATATGCCATATTTTATTATCATGTTAAAGATTTAAATTGAATGTTTAATATGTTATTATTATGAGCCATATTTTATTATCTTGTGCAATATTTTATAATCTTGTGCAATATTTAAATTCAATGTGTGATATTTCAAACTTTTTGCAATATATCAATTTCATGTAAATTTCTGTATAATGTGCAATATTTCACTGTCATTTGCAAAAATTACTGCTTCAGAATTACTGACAGTATTACTTCTTATTTTTCTATTCTGGTCTTATTTTAGTTTTCTCATTATTGTTTTATTCCTTGTGAAATCATATTTTATCTATTGTTTTAGACACAGCATTAATTCTGCTGTTATTGTAATTTTTTTCTGCCTCTAGAATTCCCTTCAGAATTAATAAAGTTTCATTTCTTTTTATATTGGACGTTTTCTTATTTTTCACTTTCCTGAAAAAATCAAAACAGCCAAATGGACCAGTCCATCGCGTTGCTTCCTGGAGCGTCATATTTGTCATAAAGGCAGCTTCTCCCTCATTGGCTGTTGCCTGGATACGGTGACAAACATTAGAAGACGGCTAAGAGGAAGAAGCTAGCTAAAACTTTCGGAAGTAATTAAAATGCCGAAACACCCCGAAGACACAACAAATGTGAGTCGAAGCACAAAAAAAAACAAAAAAAAGACAGATTTCTAAACTTTTAAACACATTATGTGACAAAACGTTCGCTGCTCCCCGGTGTTTGTGATGCTACTTTAGCATCGTTAGCATTTAGCATGTCCGTCACTGCCTCTAAAAGTTATTACAGTTCATCGTCCGGCTTCATTTTCACAGTTAACATGAAATAAATACCTTTCAGGTGAGTTTCCAGCCTCCGGGCCGCTGGGTGTGGAAGGAGGAATCCCAAACTCTGGAGTTCTCCAGGTGAGAGCAGCGGCGCTAATTAGCTACTGGCATACCGCACCTGCAAACAATTACAAAATTTTATTTAAATATATCAAACGACTCTCCTCCTTTCTAGTCATCATCCAGCTGAGGAGGCGGTAAAGAGGAAAAAGAGCCAAACTAATGTCGGTTTCAGGGAGCTGCAGCTGCGGGCGGAGTGGTAGGAAGCCGTGTTGAAGTGATGCAGGACGGAATCAGCTGTTTTATTCTTCTTACCTGACGTTCAGCTGCACATGTTGACCTGCCGCCGTCTGCCCAGGTTGGCTGCGGTCTGCTCACCGAGCCGCAGGGGGCGCCAGAGCCTCACGAAGAGCCTGAGTGCTGCTCACCTGGACTCCTACAGAGCCTCCGTGAAGAAGAAGCAGCGGGACCACGTGACCCTGGAGGACGTGAAAGGCAGGTGTTGATGTGACGTTAAAGTAAAAACGTTAATAATGTGTGACTTCAACACAACTACCAGGACTTGACTCGTTTAGATGTGCACTTATTGGCTCCATTAATGGAACATTTATGCATATTATGGGTCAACTAATGTGTTTTTTAAGGACAAATGCTAATTATTATAACTCTAGGGGAGCAGGACTGACATAAATTTGCAGTAAAAATGAAAACCTTGTTGAAATGCAGGTCAGTTTGGACAGAATGCAGGAAATATGTTGCTCAGATTTTACTTTTTTTGTTATTTTGGACCCAAACCTTAATTCTGTAAAATATCTTTGCTGAAATTTCATACTTTTGTGTTTTCAGACCTGAGATTTTTTCCATTTTCACCCTCACAGTTTACATTTACCCATGAATCCATTTTAATGATTAAATATCTCCAGACAGCCATGAAACGTGGTGAGAACACAGACAGAATGGTTTCCAGCAGATCAGTGATCGGATGACTCAGAAGAAGACGACACGTTTTTAAATATCGTTCCTTGAAAATGGGGGGAAAAATACCACATTTTCAAACAAATGTGGCGTTGTGTCTCCATAAAGTCCCTGTCAGAGTCTGTCTATGGATGGGTCCATGGTTCTACTAGAACCCAGTCTCTGGTCACATCTCACCACCTGTTGAGGCTCTAACATCAGCAGAACCTGATGTGGTGAAGTTGGACCAGACAAGGTTCTGGTTTTACATGTTCAGACTAAATGTTGATGTGGATCGTTGGTAGGAACCAGAACCTGGAGTCCACAGATTCTAGATGTTGGTTCTGGATGAGCAGAGCTACAAGATGCTTCATGATGGAGTGAGGCTGACTTAGCCTGAATGTTTCCATGCAGATATTGGAAATAAACTCGTCACCATTTGGTCAGAATAGCAGAATGTGAAACCTCAGTTTACCAAACTTTCCACGTGTCTAAATTGCTTCCATGTTTAAGGTCCAATAATTAAACTGTGTCCTGCTGGATCCATTCAATGATCTGATCTGATGAAACGGTTCTGTCTGAGTCTCCACATCTAACGTCTGTTGGAGTTTCATTTCTGGAGATATTAAGCCTTGAAAAAAACAATTTGAGGGTGAAAATACAAAATAATTCCAAGTCTGACACGTGAAACACATGAAATTCAGCCGAAATATTTTACAGAACTTTAGTTTTTTTTAGGTCAGCAGCACATTTCCTGAACTACTGCTACAGAGAGAACGGTGGCTGCATCACAGTAGTGC